ACAAGCATTTGCCAGCCGCATGCCCTCATATACAGTGATTGGTTGGTTAGTGAGGTTTGATACCAGTAGAACCGGTTCATGGGATGAGATTATTGCTGGAGCTACGATGAGGTCCTTTTCCATAAGTTTACCACATTGTGACATAAGAATAAGATCTTGTGACTGGTTGGAATTCTCAACCACGCAAGAAATGAATGATTCAGTGTTTGGTGGTATGGTTACGGTGTGTTCTGCTCTTACGTGGTAGGGCATGCTCCTGGGTCGTTGCCCACACCTTGGGAATTTCCCTAAAGGTAACATGGTGGAACCGAAATACACTTTTTGTTCACGGAAGAGCAAAGTCATCGTGGGAAGCAAAGACAAGGTGTCGCTGCCTAGAATGACTTCATAAATGGAGTCCATGTGAGGAACGCATCGAACTTCAGTGAAATGAAGAACAGTTGTGATAACTATGTCATCGATTTGCAAGGTAACCTTTTTAGAGCCCGCCAGCGCCACTTGAGTACCCGCCATGCCTACCGCGGTGTTTGCTCTTGGTGGGTCTAATTGAAAGATACCCAGAGCTGGACATAGGTCTCGAGAAGCCAATGTTATGCAGGAACCTGTATCAATTAGTGCAGATACATGAACCCCGTTAACTTTAAGGCTTATATGGGCGGAAAGAGGCGCGTTGTCCGATGATAAACTAAAGACTCTTGGGAAATTTTGGGGAGGGTCAACTGGGGAACCAGCGTCTACGGCTACAGTGGTTTGCTCGCGTAATGGAATGGCCTCTGTGCGACCAACGCCTTGTCTCTGTAAACCTGACAACAAACGCGCTGCCGAGGAATTTAAAGAAAACGATGCGTATATCGCGAGCGCACGCAAAAGCATATTTACAGTAACGAAGAGGCAACAGACGGTAACCCATGATTGATACAGATATGCTTGGAGGTATGCAAAAGGGGTAAGTGCAAAAGCGGTGGTAGCCACGGAGTGTAGAGACGCACTTTGGGAGTCCGACGGATGAGCATCCAAGTGGGCATCTAATGCTGCTTGGGATCCTTCCACTGCTGCCCACAGTTCGCTAAACTGTAGTTGAGGCAGAAACTCGCTGACATTGGTTAGAACGAGATTGTGGAAAAGGGTAAGTGCCGGTTTCACGTTAGAAAGTGGAGGCGCGTCAGCGTGAGGGATTACGGTGATGAGCGAGGGCGCAACTTCCTCATAAGCGCCTGACATAGGATAAAACCGTGTTATTGATCCTTGATGAGCTAACTCAAATACCATTTTTTGCTTGCATTTCGCAGGGGATGCCGAGTTAACCAAAACGTACGTTACGGGATCGAGGAAAGTTTTCCAATGAGATCCATCAGGGAGGTGTACGAGAACAGAAGGAAGTGAAAAACACGAAGAGTTAAATGGCACTAGCTGGTACATAGAGCTGTCAATAGGAACACATGATTTGGTACGAACAACGTTTTCTCCCACGAAAACAGCGTCAATATCAGAACGTTGAAGGAGCTTACGCATTGTTAACGTAGGATTAGCGGACGCTGCACTGACCAGCGAGGCCGCTAAGGAGTTAATGGATTTACACATATGAAGGATAGAGTGATGAAATGATGTGTTGAGTGATTGCTGCATGTTATCCTCCGCTGCCAAAAGTTGCGCCGCTAATTGGTTTGTAGTAGCTAATCCTACTTGTTGTAAAATGGGGCTAGTTGCTTGTCTTTTCTTTCGATGTTGATGATGACGTATTTCGATACCGTAACCTTGATCCGTAACAATCAGAGGATGATTACAGTCGTGAAGGAGAGGACCAGACATAGAGAACGAGAGAGCGAATTCACGAGTTTCGCTAAGCCACACATGATCAACGAAAGTTCCTTTCATGGGAGAAACTAACACATACCTGCACTGTTCATTCTTCTCTGGAGTCCATATAACTGCTGCGCCAGTTTTGGTTGAGCACGATCCTTCTTTGTATTGGCAGCCGTGCAGTGGTCCAATAGGGCTTTCAATGACAGGAGAACCGTGGTAAGCGAATACAGTAGTCTGAAAGATAATACAGTTAGCTACGGTTACAGAGTGCTCTGTGCAGCATTGGAACGGAGCTGACGGCCATTCAAACTGAAGTTTATTCATAGTTTTCCAAACTGTGCCAACCGCTGTAAGTTCCCCATGCGTACAAGATTTATGCCGTACCATATGCCGACATACGCCTATGGGGACAGCTTTTTCTTGCGTGGACGTAGTTTGTGAGC